GAGAGGGAGGGAGGCTGTGGGCGGAGTGAGCAGGTTGTAAGGAGTCTCCGAAGGGGCGTCGAAGAGGATCCGCTTGCAGGCTCTAAGGCAGCGGGCGGAGCAGCCGGGGGGGGCTCTGAGGGAGGAGCGGAGGCGGGGTGGGGCACCGGTCTCTGCTCCCTCCCCCGGCGCTAGGTCCGGTGTAACAAAGCCTTGGTAACGGGGTTGCTAGCGCGCTGGTCGGTGCCTGGTAACCAGGCGCTGCCCCTTTAAGCGGCGGGGGTGTTGCCTTGCCGGAGGGCGGGGAAGATCCGAAGTCCCCTTCGGCGCCCGCCCACTCTGTGCTGGAGCTGGCAGCTCCCCCTGTCCCCGTTCTCACTCCCATGCGGGCGGTGGGGACGACGGCACTCTGGGCAGCGCGGCCGCAGGCAGGCGGCTCCTCTCGGTATGTCCTGGGGGCTCCCTGTCTGCTGAGCCCGCGCAGGTCCCGCTGGAGCCGCCCCGGGGTCCCATGAGTTCAGAGCTGCCCCGCGCCTCGCCGCTCCGCGCTCTCTTTAAGATGGAGCCGGCTCCGTCCGCCTCCGAGTTGCTGGTGGGAGCTTCAGAGTTCCTGAAAGGTGAGGGACACAAGAAGCCCGACTGCCCACGGCCCCGGGACCCTGCCTGGTTATCCTGGCGGCCGTGGCCCCTTCCCCCTGGACCCTGCCTGGCTGCCCTCGCCCCTTCCCTCTCCTTCCTATCCCTGTAGTTCCGTGGTCCTCGCCGTTCTACCCCTGTCCCCAGGGCTCATGGACCCAGCTCCCCTGGGCCGGGGCTGGTCGTGTCTAAGCCGGTTCCTTCCTTCTCCGTTCCGGTGAGGAAACAGCCGGCACCTGTCGCCCCGGGCTCTGCGCTGGGTAAAAGCCACCCTGTAGCGATCCCGTCCCGCCCAGCCCTCTCCTGGGGGACAGCCGTGTGCGGCTAAGCGCGGCCAGCCCGACTTTCTCTTCTCCCTTCTACGCAGGAGAAATGTAGCGATGCCCCGCCCGCTCGGAGGCCGAGGATTAGAGGGCGGGCGGGCGGAGATCGCTCTTTTACCCCCTAACATTGAGCTGACCGTGCTGGCCTGGGGGGATAATAGGGACGGGTTGGGGGGGAGTTAGAGAAAGGGAACCACAACAACCGTATAGCCTTCGTCAGTTGCCTTCAACTTTGTTTCAGGTCGATTATATTTTGCTACTTTACGGAATAAACCCAAAAGCACAGTAAATACCCACTATTTCTGTACTGATGAGGAGCTGGTCTATGAAAAGTAAGTAACTTTTAGTTTCTTACTACCATTGTCCTGTAAGGCTCTTGCTAATTGCTTAACTATCTTGTTAATTGATGCATTTCAGTCCTCTGTAATGAATGGAGTGTAAAGAACCAACCATTCTTCCCTTAAAGAATAACAAGACTGCTGTGAAATTACTTAACTTGTAGTTGACCCAGGGGTGGATGGGATGGACATGCTGCTCAGGACTTATTTATAAAGTGAGGCTCTCTTAAGAGTAATTAAATCTTATTAGATAAAGTCTTAAATAGAAGTCTGTGTAGGGGGAAGTCAGGTGAAATAACAGTGGCTTCTCTGTTTTGTTAGTAATTAACTCCTTATATTTTCTATATGCAGAAAAATACGAAGTGATTATACTTTGGATTTTTTTTTATTTTATTTTTTTTTACAATTTAAAGATAGTGAAGCTTAGATGGGCGCTTACATCGACATCTGAAGCTTGAAATCTAGTCCGATTAGGAAAAAATAAGGGGTAGCTTTTACTGATAGTTTTATTTATTTTCATAAATAAGGATGTTATGTTTAAAAATGTTTTTCTTTCCTGTGGGATGAAAGACCAACACATGCAAGGGAAACTGACAATTCAGGGTCAGCAGTGAAATTGACTGTACACAAAGTGGTGTCATCTGAAGAAAATAAACAAGCTGAAAAATAGCGGTTAAAGAAAACTATTCATAGATGTTGGAAGCAAAAGCACTTTTAGGTGTGTGTGTGTGTGTGTGTGTGTTAAGTTGACACTGGCCCTTCTCAATAACATTATTATTGCTCTGTTATCATGTTACCTATTTTATTTGTATGATCTGAACTCAAAGTAAAGGGAATTATGCTTATAACTTCATGCAACAAAGTGAAGCTGTGCCTCAGACTATAGGATACAAAATACTATTTCAAAACTCAAGAGAACTAGATTATATCTTGAAATGGGTATGCTCCGTTTGTAGCTTAGTTATTATAGAATGGGCATTCAGAGTTATGGCAGTAGTACACAAATGTGGCATCATGATATTAGGGCCAAGGGGAGAGGCATGAAGAATAGGGACCTGAAACTTAAGGAGAATAAGTTTAAACTTCATTTGCTCTCAATCTAGTTATTTGGGGCATTCAGTACACAAATATATTTAGCAAAATTTAACTGTCTGACCCTAAAGAGTTTGGTTTTATCCTTTTTACATGCAAAGGTTCACTTAATACAGTGCAGCCATATAAAGATGTAATATGTATAAATTACTCTGTTGGGGGAAGTGAGAGAAAGTTGTTTATCTGCTGCTATGGCTCTGATGGAGTATTTTTGTTTGTATTCGGTATATAACAGTGAAACTGTTTTGGGTTACTGACAGCCTGATGAATCTGTATTTTCTGCTCGGTTAAAAATAATTCTTGCTGCTTTTTTACCTGTTTGTAGCTTGGTTGCTTTTGTGGGTGTGATTCTGTGTCAAGAGGGACAAACGTGATGATAAAAAATTTCATATTCAGGCAGGTTTAACCTTGCTGAGGCTCTGAGGATTCTTGAAGAACTTCATACCGTGATTGAGACTCAGGGCTGGTCCACACTGGGGCGGGGGATCGATCTAGGAAACGCAACTTCAGCTACGAGAGTAGCATAGCTGAAGTCGACGTTTCCTAGATCGAACTAAGTTTACTTACTGCGGGTCCACACGGCGCAGGCAAGCTCCTCCGTCGACAGCGCTTCCTCCTCTCGGCGAGCAGGAGTTCCGCAGTCGACGGGGGAGCGCTTCTGGGATCGATTTATCGCGTCCAGATGAGATGCGATAAATCGATCCCAGAAGATCGATTACCCGCCGAATCGGGCGGGTAGTGTGGACTGAGCCTTTGTGCACGTCTACACTTAAAACGCTGCAGCGACACAGCTGCACTCGTGCAGCTGCGCCACTGTAGTACTTCAGTGAAGATACTGCTACACCAATGGGAGAGCTTTTCTCATCAGTGTAGTTAATCCACCTCTGAGAGGCAGTAGCTATATTGATGGGAGAAGCCCCTCCCATTGACATAAGACTGTCTACACCGGAGTTAGGTCGGTATAACTGCATCCCTCAGGGATGGATTTTTCACACCCCTGAGCAACATAGTTATACCGATGTATGATTATAGTGTATATTGGGGTAGGCAACCTATGGCACGCGTGCCAAAGGCAGCATGCAAGCTGATTTTTCAGTGGCACTCACACTGCCTGGGTCCTGGCCACCGATCCGGGGGGGGCTCTGCATTTTAATTTAATTTTAAATGAAGCTTCTTAAACATTTTTAAAACCTTATTTACTTTATATACAACAATAGTTTAGTGTTATATTATAGACTTATAGAAAGAGACCTTCTAAAAATGTTAAAATGTATTACTGGCACGCAAAACCTTCATTTATTCACTATAAATGAAGACTCGGCACACCACTTCTGAAAGGTTGCTGACCCCGGGTGTAGACCCTGGCCTAAGATACATGCCCATGGCTGACTAAATCATGCAGCAGGGTTCTGGGTCTGTTACTGGTGCTGTCCTATCTTAAACAAAAAACGGTTAGGCCGCGATTCAAGAAGTCTGCTCTTGACAAAATCTTGCTAATTGTTGTGCAGTCTAGGGCTTGAATTAACAGCTTGTTCAGTGCTTGCAGTACTCAATCTCCAGATTTCTTTTTCTTCAATTTTGGTTTAAGCCTAGATATGGTGCAGAAATTGTACTGGTCTCATTATCCATTCTCCTTATGGTTATTGACCTGGATCAAGTGTTCATGCTAATCCTTATTTCTGTCAGGTGTCTTTTGATATTGCTGATCACAAGATAATTGTGATGTGTGTGCAGTGTATGACAGGGCTAGATGAAATTGATTGTGAATGGCTGTATTCTGAGAGGATACAAAGGATGATATTGAGCATTATGGTGCTCTCATCTCCTGTATAGTTAAATATATGTAAATCAGCTGGGCAGATACTGTTTTGAGCTTCAGTGTTAATCATACACAGATAACATTAAGCTGTTTTTTTTTTTTATTGCCTTTTGGATGGGACAGTATGTATCTGGATTAGGGCAAGATGGCTGAAAAAACCTGGCAAGACACAGGTAATGGTTTTTAGGGTAGGGGAAACATCTGGAAATAATAGTGAGATTGGTTTCCCTTCTGAAGAGAAGATTTGCCCTCTTGTTAGAAGGGTTTGCAGCTGGGAGATACCCAGCTAATTTTAGTAAAGTAGTGTTACCCTTAGATACTTTACTAAAAGTAGCAGCTAAAGCCCTCTAGGCTGTACTTATTTGGTGAAAAAGCCTGTGACATCTTGTGGATACGGATCTTGCTACAGTTGTCTTTGTCCATATTCAATCTCTGCAATATGGTCTGCTTGAGGAGACCAGCAAACCACTTGGAAGTTTCACCTCATGCACAATGCACTGGCCAGATTATTTACACTAGGTCTGTGTTAGAAGCTTTTGCTCATACAGCAGTCTTGGTTGTGTGTGACTTTTTCCCCCAGCAAAAGTCCTAAGGTAGATGAAGTTATATTGGCATTAAAGTGCTTTTGCTGGTATAATGTATTTCAATCACTGAACCAGTGTAAGCTATACTGGAAAAAGCATTCTTTTGCTGGTATAAGGGTTTAAGACTACCAGATTTCTTCTATAGTTATACCAACAAACCTTTTCAAACATAGACTAGACCTTGGTAGCATTTCTTGAGCTCGCACATGATACCTGTGTTTCATGATCTTCATTAGCTTCCAGTTAAACCCAGACCTTTGAATTACATCCAAAAGTTAATTTCTCCTAAGACACTTTTTATGTCTTGGGTCTTAGTTACCTCAAACCGCCTCTCTTCCCCTGTTGCGCCCCACAATTGAGATTCCCCAGGTTAGGTGCTTCATATCTAAATGTCTGGGCTGGTGACAAGATGTTAACTTCTGTGGTTTTGTATCAGTTTAATGGTGAGCAGAATTTGACCCAACATTTAAAAGTATAAATTGACTTCCTTTATATGCAAGATGACTTTGATTGGACATTTTTAATTCTAAACATTCTTCGGAAGAAAAAACTATAAAACTCTGAAGTCCAAATAGTGTATCCCTTCATTCCTATCAGTAGTTACATGCCTGAAATGTCCTGGTAATCTGCCTACCTTTTGCATCAAAGTGAGGAAGGATTGTAAAATTGCCCTTGTATTTTAGGGCTTGTATCTAAAGACCTTTTGTTTCTTTGTGCACAGAATGACAATTTAAAAAAACAAACAAACAAAAAAACCCTTTTTTTTTCCCAGGGAAGGGGTTAACTAGGTATTTATAAACTAGGTGACAATTATCATCTGGCATACAGATTTTAAGTAATCTTGTGCAGCAATATATACCTCCCTTCAACTGGCTAATGCCAAATTTTGCCTTAACATTTGTTACCCGTCACACAAATTTTATACTGTATATGGGATATTGATGGCTTCAAAAGTACTTTTTCCCCTATGAAACTTGGGTCATCCAGAGGGAAGCATATGGTGGCCTAGCAACAGTACACACCACATGTTTTATTAATGTATTTCTCTGAACGTAGCAGGTTGTAGCAAAACTGGGAATAGAATATGTCTCCTGAATGCTGGTTGGGTGTCATATCAGCTAGAGACCATCTGCCTTCTAATAATGCCTCTTCTGTCTGTTTAGACTGTAAGCTGTCTGTAGCAATAACTGACTTACTACATGTTTGTACAGTGCCTAGCACAATGACACCCCAATCTCAGTTGGGACCTCTAGGTCTTACTGTAATTTAAATAATTTTGTAACTGCATATTTTTTGTCACATAACAGTGTAATCACATCAGTTTCAATTATTTTGGTAATTTATTTAAAATACCTGTCAGCAACTATGTCTGTAACAACACAGACAACAGAAAAGATCCAGGAAATGTTTTTTGACAAATAGATTCATTACTAGGTATATTAATATAGAACTCCAAGTAATAATTCATTTAAACTACAATACAGAAACGTATATCCTGC